AGAGACAGAAAGAGTCGAGTCTAGTTAAACAGTAGTTACGTGACCCAAAATTGTTCCATCAGTAAGTCCGGAGGACGATGCATGAGATGACCCCATGAGCCTTCGAGCTGAAGAATAATGATTGTAAAGTTCTGACAAGTTCCCGGGCGGTAGGAACTTGGTCATTTTCTTGGAATCATCCCATTGGATAATGTCCAGCGATATGCTGCTACCAGCTTTCTGCAGCCATGATGTCAATTCTGTATCATCCACGTCCGAAGCGATGTCAAAATCACTGTCGTCTGCGTGGGCAGCCCGCCCCCTTCGGATGAACCTACCAGGTTTCCAGCAGCGCTGGCTCTATTGACATTGAAAATTACTCCTTATTGAGTGGTCCCTCAACCAACACTTTTCCACCCAACCCTGCCTGTCTGGCAGGGTCTCTGCCACACTCTGGTAAAGTGTTGCGAAAAATGCGTCTATTGAAAAGGATTCCTTCTGACTTCCCGACTTGTCCTTGCCAAGCCTCAAATCGGGCGCCGTGTTTCCGGATCGCCTAAGGCGATTGGTTCCTACGCCCAGCAGCGAGGCCAGGCAACGGAATCCGACCTCTTGCTCGAGGAATGTCGTGGATTGGATGGGCACAGTTCCATCAACGGCCATGCCCAACTTAGTGAGTGTCAATGGAAGCGCAATGGAAGAGAAACTCACTTAGGCCTTACATTTGATGGTCCATTGAAAGAGGTCTAGGCTTTACAAAGTGAGGACCATTCAATCTCATTGCAGTTGGAGGTGCAAGTGAATCTTGGTCAGACTTGTCCAAATCCCAAAACTCATTGAGGAAGTTGCGAATATCGTTCTCTTTGTATTGACTGTAGCAAGTTTTCCGGGCACCTTACAGAAACAGCGTGCGAAGACAAACTCCAATATTATCATATTTACACACCCTGAACCACAGCCCCAATTATATAGAATCCCAGACAAAATACATGGGTGAAGCCCCGGTACACAAACATGTATCTTTCGACAAGACGGACAGAATTCGTTTCGAGGACTTGCCGTTCTCTTTCAGCTTGACCCCGGAACGTTTATAGGTTGCCATGGCTTGCCGCCTGGAATTGTCATAGGGACGCTTCTTCTTCATGGTGGGTTTCTGCACTTTGCGAATGTTCTGAGCAAAGTGGGCCTTCGCCGCCTTGTGTAACTGGGACCACCCAAAATTGAAAGAAGTTGTAGGCTGTTCTCCATCATCGCTCTCTGAACCACTCGATGAAGATTCTGCGGTTCAAAAGGCCTTTTCGCTGTCGCTGACGAACTATCCCTACCGCAACGAACACCTTCTTCGGGCTCTGGTTGGAAAATGCACACTGGTTTGTGAAGTGGCTCGGAACCACCAGGCCGCTTTCTTCTAGATACACCTTCAGAGATGGCACATGGCAACACACTTAACAAGAACCAAGTCAGGAGTACACCAGGGACCAAGTCAATGTTTTTTCACACCACACCTCCTGCAGCTTGCGAACTTCCCCCACTTACAGGTGGCTTGTGGTCTCGAGGACGCTCGGGCCCCTCAGCTTGGAAGGGCGGCATTGCAACTTCTTGAGGGATTGCGGCATCGAAACGATATATGATATGACGTCATGTCGTGTAACTTCATTTTAAAAAGCAGTTTAACTCCATTTGTGTTTCTTTGACTGGACCTTTGGTTCTGAGGCTTTGATTTCATTCAATTGCATGTCCCTTTACAATCGTTCCGAAATGGCTTGAGGAAATGGCTGCAGGTGCATGAGTACATACCACCTGGTAACAAACTAGTACCTTCGTTCAGCAACTGTCAGAGTGCTGCCACTTGACTTTCGAGCCTGGACTTTCAGCCAGTGGTGCCCCCTTTGCTCTGATTTGAGGCTGGCACTTGGTTGGAGGGAGTTGGTGGTGGTCACGCGGCAGGCCTGCGCCGCAGCGATGGGACCAGAATCAAGAACGGGGACGCCGGCGATGCCCAAAATCAGCGATGGGACCGCGTGGCGCTGAACCCCAAAGATCGCATTCAAACCCTTTTCCCTTGTTCTACGTGATGTGCGCAGCGTAGCATGGAGTTGGGAACAGGGTTTCACATCCTTGCCAACTCAAGATGAATTTGAATAGAGATTCACTGAACATACGGCCTATGTCTCACTCTGCTTGTCAGTAAGACAAAGCATTTGCAGCAGCAGTGCTAAGCCGACGCTTGGAAGGTGCATCCCGTTGCCCGATGCTTTTGTCAGAAAAGACTCCTGGCAGCCCTTGAGGGAAATCGCCGCCTAAAATGACAGCGCACAAGAAAAGGCTTGTTTGACATAGTTTGAGACTAATTGAAGACAGTTGTGCAAACAGTGCGCAAAACAACGTAATTAAGAACAAAGGCCCAAGGGACCACTTTTCCGGCTGCAGCTGCCGGCTCCCAAACCGGCACCCCAAGGGAGAACAGCTTTTCTCTTCCCGTGTAGCACCTTTGAAGCTCCTCGGACCTTGGGCGCGCATATGCACACTAAATCTAAGCATGAGTATGAAAGGAAACTAAAGCCAGGAAAAGCCAGGAAACTAAACTATGAGCATGAAAATGTTCAAGTCAGGGCACCATAGGTGACTGGTGGTAGTGGCAAGTGTGGGAAGTTCACCATGTTTAAGATCAGTGCGGGCACGGCCCGCTTCAGCGGATTGCCCAAGGTCATAAATGGTCTTGGTGGTTCCCAGCAAATGCCTGTAGCTAGCCAGGCTTGTCTGCATAGACCTAAAGTCGCAACCAGAATGGGTCTGAGTGCTTGTCAAATTCCACAAAGCTGAGAACCCATCTTCTAAGTGTATGACGGAGAAAGGGCATCTTCTGGAGACTTGGGCCCAACCAGTGACTTGATTTCTTCCGAACTGCTGATAGCGAAACAAGTTGGCGACAAGACTGGCACTGCACCCTTCTTTGCGAGAATGGTGTCAGCAAGTTGTTGAAAAGTCAAATCCTGACAAACGGGATGGTCGATGCTTAATACTCAACGACTGACTCCGAAAACTTGACTCTCAAGTGGCAACACGCTCCCCCAAACGGCCAGACCCACTCCTGGCCCCACTCTCGCTCGGTCGGATTCCAAGCGATCCTGTACTCGCGAGGCCTGCCGGCTGGGTATCCAAATCGCTGCGGCATCATCCTGGGCGACTGTTTAGGCAGCTATATCGTTTGAGGGTTTGCAGGGGGTTGTGGAAGGGTTTGTGGAAGGGTTTGAGTCAAGGGGCTGAGCCAGTTGAATCTCATTGGTGCAAGAACTCTCTAGCATCTTGGGGTCGTAGCCAACCACGTTCTCGTGTGTTGAGGACTGTGCAAGGTTCATCGCTGCTGTGGCCACAGCATGGACCTGTGCCTTCTGGACATTTTGCCACCCCTCTCGTGCACCAAGCCTGGGCGGTGGTGTACTAGCAACTGACAAGTCTAGAAGGGCCATGAACAACTCGTATTGAACCTGACATGTTCTCAGACCCTGTATTTGCAGAAAAGGGGCCGGCTGAAGGCGATGCAAGGTGCTCCCAGGACTAAGGAAGACCCCTTAATCTGGAGGGGGCATGACTTTCCATGCGTCAAGCACTTGGCGTGGGTCTTGAACTTGATTTTCATGGGCTCCAAGACTTTCTTCTCTGGGATCTTGTTGGTGATGAGCTCCAAAACATTCCCAAACAAACACGAGTTGGGGTATCTATCCTTGATCCAGTGTTGGCATTGAGCATCACATTCAACCTTAGATATGGGTGGCAGTGGCAAGCGCTGGAATTGCCACGGACGATATCGATGTATAGAACAATACAACCAATTGGATTTCAATCTAATGAGACTAGGGGCTGCCCCGATGAACTCCAGGCCGCATCGAATCCCCCAAAGGTCACTCGCGGCAGCGCTCACATGCTCCCAAGCCAACCTTGCGCATTCCACGCCGCTGAACAGCGAAAGGATTTTCTGCTTCTTCTCGAGTTGCTTGCAGCAGTATTCCTTGCCAAGTACATCTCCCAAACGACGAAGGAGAGTGAACGCCCAAGTCCTCAGATGAGGACTTTAAAGGATGCATTTGGATGTAATGAAGACCCCCATATATCCCCATATGTACACTAAAAGCCTTCCAACTAGTGCATCTAAGCCTCCCCAGCTGGGCTGATGTCTCTGGCATCGGGAATGGGTCGAGCTGCCGCCTTGGCTCAGGGTACCCAAACGCAATCCCCAGTATCCTATGAGCGGAAATGAAGGGTGGTGTAGCCATGAAATAGCTTTTGGTTGAGACCAGGTGCGGGGGTTGCTGAGCTTCAGCAGGCTGTTTAACGATCTTCTTGTCTTTCTTGACGCTAGGTTTTTTCCTGAGCGGAGCACTGGGAGGGCGACAGGTGAGGTGGTCAAAATCTAGATAAGGAAGTTTGGTTAAGACCTTTTTGAATCACATAGCCGAGGATCTTCACATGGACCTTTGTCTTCTCCCTCTCTGCCACAAGAAGTGCAGCCAAAGACTTGCCCATGGCTTGTGTAGCAAGAGCGTGATGCCAGGGCCAAAAGAACTTTTTCACAAAATCACGTTGCTTCTCATGAAAGGCTCTTAGTCTTAGTGTGATGTAGTAAGTGGTATATTCAATCATCAAGCTGACTTCCAACCTGTTTCTTCAACGTATTAACTCATCAAAGAGCTATTGCAACTCCAATCCCCCCGCTTCACCGATGCCCAGCCTGCTTCTTGTGCAGGCAGCAGCTGCTCCGCAGCCGCAGCGCAGCGGCTGTGCGGCTCCCCCACCCCACCCACACTAGTATTTTAACAGTCACCAATCTTGAAAGCCCAGGGTCCAATTACCATGAAATGAGATTCACTTACCTTGAATGTTACATATATATATATATATACATATCAATCTCTCAAGAATCTCATCCAGAATCATACTTCTAGTAATTTGTCCACGAAGATCCACAAGGGCATTCGTTCTCAGCATACGGCCGCCCGAATCCCTCGAATTGTTCGAGCTGCTCCGCATTTGAGCTGCCAGCGCCGCAAGGGAGAGCAGCGAGAAGCTGGCAAACTGGCCACAGGCGCAAAAAGCCCTTCGCCACGAGGTGTTCCCGGGAAAAAGACATTGGAGTCCCCACTATGGCATTCCATTCTTTACCCCCACACTAGCATCGGGCCAGGCCAGGCCCCCCAACCCTTCCTAGGGCCCTCAACCTGTTTCTGGATCCTAACAACCCTTGGATGTGGAGCAGGATGCGAAGCCTCAGACTTTCTAGGTTTCTACCGCAGATCAAACACCGACCCCGGATCTACTCCTGCTAGTCCGAAGGGGAATTCGAGCACCGATGTCACACAGAAACAAAGACAAGGCGGTCAGCGGTCAGCGTGTTTATCCGGGTTTGCATGGGACATTGCCGTAGACTTCCAAGACCCTTTTAAAACAAGTGTGTGTGTAAAATGTTGTAAAACCATGGGGGTTCGGGATGACCTGGTTATTACAGTAAATTAATGGTGGTTCGGGTAGCTTGGAGCCACAGATATTCGTAGCCTTTGGGCCTCCAAGGCGCGCCTTGGCAGCGCTGTTCGTGTGGATCGAGGACCTCCACGCATAGCAGAGAGCGCTGTGACCAGGTGGGGAATCCTTCGCATCTCCCAGTTACCCAGTTAGTCAAATCATGTTTAAAAGCTGCACCCAATTGATCTCATAGCATGCTGCCCCACCCAACACAGTTGATTCTCACAAAGGTTTGCAGTCAGTCCGTAGTCATGCGTAGTCTGATCATCGACTTCACCCAGGAAAACAGAGGGGTTGGAGGCCATCGCTATTAGATGCAGAGGTGCCCACCCGTGTCGATGGGGGACTCACTTCTTGAGGCCCCTGCGAGCGAAAAGCGGCACCAGCTTGGCTGGCCGAACGCGGTGCAGTGGCGGAGTGCACACTGGGTGCCAAAAAGCAGCTGCCTCAAACGCGGCACGAGTTGCCAATGTTTGTCTACCAATGGATTCCGATAGGAATTCTTGCACCCACTATCACCCAATACAATCCTGGAGAAACTGCCAAACCCCCAGGTTCAGGGCAAACCCAAGAAACTACCAGTAACAAAAAATATTGGAGGTGTCCACCGTGCGGCACACCGTGCGGCACACCCGTGCGGCACACCCATTACACATCTGGATCATGTTGATCAACGGCATCCCACATCTCATATGATCGTCAAAGCGAATTAGGACCACATTGCACTGAATACCCTTCACAATCGCGTCTCGCGTCTTTATATGCTTTATGCATCACTCAGCATCGCATTCTCATGGCCCGGTGTTGTGGCATTACTTGTGCCAGTGTCGCGCAGAGAGCGAAGTCTTGAGCCAACATCCTTTGTTGAGCCAACATGCTTACTTCATGGCCTTTCAATTGACTAGACCTGCAAACAAGAGTGAATGAAGCACTTGCGCTTCGCATTGATCTAAGTGTGCCTCACTCCCTCCTCCGCAGATGAAAAGTACACATGAACCACACGACCCCCAAAACCAATGCTAAGCTGCTAAGCCTCTGACCCAAGACTGCACTCGAGAGAAGTGCCAGTAACACACGCCTGACACGGCCGAGCTCCGCCGAGACCGATGGGCTTTGCCGAACTCGAAGGTGTTCCCCGCTTTCGGGATGGTGAAACGGCCACTGGTGCCCTTCAAATATAGATGACAGCAGTTCAAAAAAGGATAAAAAATTGATTTCTTGACAATAAGCACGAACTGCTAGTGATTCTTTCTGCCTTGACCCCTGGTCTCCGAGACTCTCCCAACGAACGTGCTCTCCCGGAGTTTCGGCCTCTGAGCCATGACAAACCTCAGCACGGCAGTGCGTACCACGTGCCACATCTGGAAAACCGAACCACACATGATACACATTCCAACATCGTCCGGCCCAGGCTTTTCAGATCTGCGCTGAAGAGACCTCTATGGAAAAGGCCAGAAATGAGCAAAGAGTGAGCGTTCACAAAATGGATCTGTTTCTTTTATCTCTAGTAGGTTGGAGGCCATCGCTATTAGCAACGCAAAAAGGATTGACTAGCCTAATGAATACGGCAGTCACTCCCCACACTGCACCAATCCCGCCACTAAAATCGCCTCAAACAGCTCGCCCGCGTTCGCCCGCGCTCCGCCGAAACGAGGACAAATACGCTGCGGCGATGGTCCAGCCACCAAGAATACACTCCCGGACCATCCCTGACTGGAAATACCTGACTTCGAATAAGCTGGAGAGGCCGTGCAAGCTATCTTTGCACGAAAAAGCTCCTAGTAGCTTCCTTGCTCCTAGTAGTAAGGCCAAGAGCCCCTAGTAGCGTCCTTGCTCCTAGTAGTGATGCCCTTTGCTCCTAGTAGCGTCCTCTACCCCCCCTTTTTCGCCCACAAGCTTCTTGTTGTGCCTAGATCTGCAAAATGCAAATTGGGCCCTCCAAAACAAACCAAGCTTGGCTGATCAACAGACCTCTACTCACCCTGGTCAGGGGTCCTCAAATGGATGAGTACCGTACTGCTGGCATGAGCCAGGAGTGATTGAAGCAATGAAGTTCTGTACAATGTCCTACTGTAGGAAGGAGTAGCTCATATTGCTGACTGTCACCTTATAGACGTCTTAGACTCCTCAAAAAGGCGACCCCCGGATGACATCGGAAGCTGAAAAACGCATCGGGTCCAGCTGCCTGGTTCGTCTCCGTTCAGATCCAAGCACCTTCACCATCCCCCATACTCCCGCTACTTCCCCGCTTTCCCGCTGCTTCCCCAACGGACCCGGGCACGGAACCGCGGAACCTGTTGGCCTGGAAAGGTCGCTCGTTGGAGCTCAGCACCTGAAGAACCCACCTGAAAAAGAAAATTATATACTAGGAGCTTCTTGTTACTACTAGTAAGGCACTTGCTACTAGAAGCGATGCACGTGTTCCTAGGAGCTTCTTGTTACTATAGTAGTAAGAATGCTCCTAGTAGCGATGCCAGGAGCCCCTAGTAGCGTCCTTGCTCCTAGTAGTATGGCCAGGAGCCCCTAGTAGCTTCTTGTTACTAAGCGATGAAAATAACATATCTAAATCAAACGCAGCGGGTCGTCGAAGTCGTCTCCTGTCGCCCTGGCTTCGCGAGGTGATGGATTTCGAGACCATGCCCGGCTCCGCCTTCGCCACCTCCGATGTCCGAGAATCCGATCTTTTCAAAGTCCATCGCTATCAGTAATGAAATGTAATGAATATGGTTTTTAGATCTTTAATGAAAGGAACTGGGTTGGAGCTTTCTAAAGCACACCATCAGGACGCCAGGAGGACGCGTCAGATCGGAGGACGGCTTGGAGGTCTAAGCGTTGCTAAGCGGTCCATTCTGTGGTCGTCTTCGGCCTCTCCGCGATCGAACGCAAACACCACGGATTCTCCATTTCGTGCGGGCACTGGACCAGAGCAAGCATAGACCCAACATCATCCCAAACTCATAGAGCCACCGGGGGAAAGTTCGAAAAAAAAAAAAGGAACGGAACCAAGACGAACCCAAGTTCCATCCATTGATGACCTTCTCCCACCGAATGACCGAACCCTCCGACCGACCCGACGTCGTCGACGCACCAAGGGTTAACCCACCTGTTGGAGCTCACGGAAGAGCGACCTGCGCGGCGCGCCAGTCGTTCTCGCGAGAGGGTCGGCTCACGAGACTCGTTGCTCTCGGATGGGCATCTTCGATCCATCTCTTTGGATCGGTTTTTTCAAGTGGAAAACAAGGTGCTTCCGTTTGATTTAGTGACTATCTGGGGTCTATGTTGGTGTCTGTTTTCACACAGTCTTCGTTTGTCTTAGAACATGTAGGCATGCATCTTGCTATATGGAAATGAAGTGCGAGAACCACCTCTGGTTTGAGGATATGTTCCGAGAATTGTAACTAAGAGACGAAAACAACACGCAGTGGGCTCTTTCGATGCCAGTTTTTTCCGCCATCCGACGCTGGAGGCCCGAACCAGGTTCAGACTCGATGGAAAGCCCGACTGAGGGAGGAAAGGGCCAGAAAAATGAGCGCGGAAAAACCGGAACCGAAGAAATCAACTAGGAACAAGTGCCTTACTAGTAGTAACAAAAAGCTATTAGAAACAAGTGCATCGCTTCTAGTAACAAGTGCCTTACTAGTAGTAACAAGAAGCTATTAGTAACAAGTGCCTTACTAGTATAGTAACAAGAAGCTATTAGTAACAAGTGCCTTACTAGTATAGTAACAAGAAGCTATTAGTAGCAAGTGCCTTACTAGTAGTAACAAGAAGCTATTAGAAACAAGTGCATC